TATATATAAACTAGGATGTCCCGATACCACTTTTTTTAGGACCAAGTACTGCTCCTCATGTAATTGCCGATACTTTTTCTTAAAAGGGCCGTGTGACTTGTTTCCAAAACAACACACACTGATGATTTTAGGGCAGTTTCCCACCAGGGCTAAATACGATGTCACCAGAATGCTGCCATGTCCAGTCCAGTTCTCCCTCCAGCTTCTAGCCCTGGTGTGGTAGTTCCACCCCCGGGGGCTGTGCCGGGAAGGAGTAGTAGGGGATAAAGAACCGGACAGGGACTGCCATCTGCAGGTCCCCACAAGCGCGGGAACTCGGATGGCCGCTGGTGTTTTGAAAAGTTAAAGGGCCGGTAACGGCCTTAAGAATCGGGACACACACACACCAGAGTTTATCTGAACAGTAGCAAGCTCCTTCCGGTGGCACCTAATCTGCTGCGGCTGTGGAACTCCCCACCCAAAGCTACATGAAGGCAAAGGGGCAGAATGCTGTGAAATCAGTGATCTTATATTGCCACATGGCTACATTTGGTCACTGACCTAATCTGGCCATGTAAGGTGAATTATGCCAGTACAAGCTTTGGTTTATATGCAGCTGTGGGGCAGGGAATGCCCATGTTTGGTCCCACCCTGATCTCACCCCTACTTGCTACTTACGAATTAGCCATAACTTCACCACTGTGGCATTTCTCCAATTTCTTCTCTATTGATGCGACATCTTCAGATCTAGCAAACTCATACTTTGACACAAGTATCTTTAGACCTATGGAATAAATTGTTTTAAACAGTAGGACTGCAAGTATCCAACAAATCTTAATTCACTACAGTGGAGCAGTTCTTCAAAATAACTTGTCCAGGAGGAGCCCAGCAGGATCACGGTCCGTGTATGAAACAGCAAGTCCTGGAGTTCAACTGCAGTTCTCGAAATAGCCCTTTTATTGATAAAACTTCAGAAATCAATATTTCAGGCTAAACCTGACGCTCTTGTGCCTAAAATACAATGAGGGCAAACATGGCTTTATATTCCTATAAATAATGCACACCGATGCAGCCAAAATCATTGTTCTGTCTGCGATATATGAATAATAAGGATATTCCCAGAACTGCAGTTGGGCCCCAGGACCTGATGGAAGTAAATACAGCAAGTTGAGAGCAGAACAAATGCTGATGTATTGTGACAGCGATGTCTCCGCCCCCACACCGCTCTGCCGGACTGTGATAGGCGGCTGAGCGGTGTGGGAGGAGACGCTGGCCGCTCACAGCACTCTCCACCGCAGCACTCGGCCGGCTGTCACTGACATAGAGCAGCGCCCAGCAGGAAGGAAAGAAATCAGGGATGCGCCGATGTATCGGCAGGAAAAATGGCACTTTCGGCATTATGCCAAAAGTGCCATTTTCGGCCGATATGTTTCGGCGGCCAATATATCGGTGCATCCCTAAAATATATATACACACACACACACACACTGCTGGAAACCAACAGTGACATATATACATAGACAGCTTAGTAAAACTGAGCTAAATGGAGCTGAATGCTGACTGGGTGCCAGCAACCCCCAAATCTGCAAGACTTTCATAGTTCACCTTACAGCATATTAATCTGATACTACTACAATAAATGCCACATTGCTGGACAGAAAGAACTGTAACATTCATGTCCAATGTAGTTTCACCATGTCAATCCCAAAGAGAGAAATGGACATACGTTTCATTCCATCCAGTAGGTGAGCCATGGTTTCCAGGCTGTCTTTTAGAGAGAGACACTCCAATAAATAACTGAAATACAGAAAAGTATTATATTACTAAAGTCGTATTCTGAACAATAATATCTGCCATTAGGTTACTTATACAGACAAGAGTACATAGTTTAGAGCAGTGGTTCTCAACCTGTGGGTCGCAACTCACTGTTGAGGGGGTCACAGCATCCACTTCTGCTTCGCTAGCAGTGTCAGTCAGCGGGAGGACAGCAGAGGCCATAAATATAAAAGTGCCGCTATACACACTCCCTGGCCGCGGCAGCGACATCTAGTGGCCGGGGAGTGTGTACAGCAGGGCTTTTCTATTCATAGCCGCTGCTGTCCTCCCGCCTCCCATACAACGTGAGCTCTGCAGGAGGCGGCTGTCTAAGCAGTGCTGGGGCTGAGAAGGCTGCATGGAGACAGAGCAGGCAAGCAGGTAGCAGGGGCTGGGGAGGGCATGTATTCTTGAGAGTGTGCTTCTAATTTTAGTCCCAAGTCCAGCGCCTTACTAATTCTGGAGTCCAGCGCTCCGTTGGGGGTCACCACAACTTGGCAAATGTTACCAAGGGGTCCCGGCCCTAGAGAGGTTGAGAACCACTGCTTTAGAGAGAGGATTCAACCAAGCATTATTTGCGTTAAACTGTCCACGGTGCGAAATGGCAATGCAACTTTAGAACAACCCTTTCTGCCAAAGGAAACAAAACACTGTGTGGGGTATCCCATGCCTCCAGACACCTGTGGAAGATTTAAGACATCAGGAACTGTAAATGGCAGCTACATCCCAGCAACACAGCATAGCTGAGCAGGTCAAAACCATAAAACTCCCCCCAACCTTAATTCAACAGGAGCCTCTCCTATTTTATTCTATGTGTACTGACTTAATCAGCATGGGTGGCAGGCACAGACACAATTGGATATGTTGGCATCGTGCCTTCTCAACACTTGTTTGAGAGGAACTCCATGAGCTAAACAAATAGGCTTGCCATCATGGTGACCTAATGGCTTCTACACTGTCCTTTCCCCAAAACAGTATCCAGATCAGGCATTTTGGCTGTATTTTTTTTTTCCGTTTAAGTCAACGATTTAAAAAGTGTTGAAGCCTGAGGATCAACCAGACAGACCAGCAGCTAGATTTTGCAAAAAGTACAAGACCAGCCTCTTATTTCCTTTACAATACAAGGCGGTGCTGCATTTCATAAAAGCCATTAGCCTGTCCCTTTTGCATACGTTGCGTTCACCCCCGAAGGAGCCGCTGGATTAATCAGGGTCATCATTACTAGTCTGTCTAGGGGTATGATCTTCAGCCGCCCCTTTAGTATTAACTGCCCTCTTCTAGTGCCCACAAAGCTGATGTCCACAGCAGTAATGCAATGCTGAATAACTTTTATTAAACATCTTCACACTGGGGAGAGAGGGTATAGGGATCCTAGACATCCAGGGTGTAACAGAAAGGCATCTTAGTGTAAATCCACATGTGATACAGCGGGTAGTAGTTGAAGTAGCAGGAATGAGGACAAATCCTCAGCAGGAGAGACACCAGCCATGTTCCTGAGGTTCTCTAGATACTGAGTACCTTCAGCAGTCCTCCATCTTCCTGGTTCTCTTCCTCTGGCAAACAACACAGGCCTCCTCCTTATTGGAGGCCCTAGGTAAGCACTTCACACACTCCAGCCTTTGCCCACCCACAGGCCTCAGGCCTAGCCTGGGGGTTGGCTGGACAGCACCCAACCCTAATCCATGGCTGGTCTCGAATAGTGTGAGCACATGGCAAATCCCTACAGTATATGTACCCTATCCCAGCATGCACCACTGGTTGAGAGAAGCCCAGTGACTGGCTGCTGTACTGTACACATACACCCACAGTGCCTCTCATTGGCTGTCCCACAATATAGCAGAGTCACACTCTGCCCAGTCTGGCATTGACTGTACCCCACAGTCAATGCCAGACACCAAGGAATTACCAGATAAATGCCACTATAATCCAGCCAGGCTGACTACAGCCCTGGCAATCACCAAATGTCTAGTAGTCACCTCATAGAAGGTGATGGGGGCTACATATATATGATCACTTACCTCTCCATATTAAGGCTTGCTCTTGAAGCACTAGATAAGATAGCAGTCAGAGCTATTATAGAGGGTGTAAACAGCAAGAAAGCATCAGTCAGAGCAACTCGAGTCAAGAAGTCATCAGCCGTTTTCCTCAACATCTCAGGATTATCTAGCAAAGGATATCGTGTCTGAAAAGTAAAAGTACATCTTGTCGGTATAATACATTTAACATGTGTAATGGCTAGAATGTCCTATTCCATGTGTATATTTTATAGGTAAAACAGCAGCCAAGTACAGTAAACTCCCAGTTATCTGGTACCCATAGGGATTGGTAGATGCCGGATAACTGTAGTTTCTGGTTGCTTGAGAGTAGATATTAACTCTCAAGCAACAACCCCCGCCCCATTCATCTGCTGACTAGATCCTGCTATTGGCTATTTCAAATTGCCATAGCCAATAGCAGGCTGTCTATTGCACACGCCCACTGCCCATTGTTTACATTCACCTACCAGCTGCAGAATCTAGCAGTCGGCCGCAGCAAGATGTAAATGGAGAATTTCGTTAGCAGCTACATAAACTTAGTTGCTAACAACCTTTTTTAGTGTGCACGTCTATCAAGCAACTGGCAAAAAAAATTGGAGGACATATATCCTCGAATTTTTTTTTTCCTGATTGCTTAAAAGTTCTGGTTGCTTGAATGCCGGATAATGGGGAGTTTACTGTATGCCAATGTGATTTGCTGCTTGGGTTTCTTTTACTACAAATTTCATAGCACTGTCCATGAATGCATGCCAAGCGGCAGTCTTCTCAAACCCTGCATTCAAATAACTTTATTCACATGACCCCTTGGAACACTATCATGCAGTCCAACACATGTACATACAGCAGATATACAACAGGAAACCCTTTGTCAAGCTGTTTTTGCTATGTCCCTGCTGGGTAGATGCAGCCCTGTATTGGTCTGGGGGTTATCTACCCAGCAAGGACATAGGAAAAAAAAAAAGAGAAATCCAAAATGTTAGTAACTAGAGCAAGAGATTAGGAAAAGCCCTCCAATGGGGGCACCTGTTCCTCTGACAAATCTCAAAGATGGGAATTCTGTTCATTTTGCAGAGAATTCATTTCCCTAAGAATAGGGAATAAACAGACCGATACAGTATAGATGTAATTGCTACAGGGGCCATTTTGTCTAGAGCAAAGTGTTAGTGCAATATCAACACACACACACACACACACACACACGAATCCAGACCAGAGTTTCTCTGAACAGTAGCAAGCTCCTTCCGGTGGCACCTAATCCGCTGCGGCTGTGGAACTCCCCACCCAAAGCTACATGAAGGCAAAGGGGCAGAATGCTGTGAAATCAGTGATCTTATATTGCCACATGGCTACATTTGGTCACTGACCTAATCTGGCCATGTAAGGTGAATTATGCCAGTACAAGCTTTGGTTTATATGCAGCTGTGGGGCAGGGAATGCCCATGTTTGGTCCCACCCTGATCTCACCCCTACTTGCTACATACCAGTAGGAGACAGACTGATTTTGCTCTCATAGTACCTTTAAATCGATTAAGTATCCTTCAAAAGGTCGGTAAGGGTTGTGTATGATAAGGTGAAAGTTCAGCTGTTGGATGAGCAGCAGTTCATGTTCCAGAATCTGTTCTAGGATCTTCTCCTGAGCTGCAGGGCTTTCTGGAAGGTTACCAACAAACTGGACACTGGATACATTAAACTCATCTACTTTACACGCTAGGAATGCACACGTCAGCCTGAAAAGGGAAAAAAATATATATATATAAAAACACAAAGAGTAATACCAAACTAACAGAGTAAATAGCTAAACATTGCCATGGTGATTTAAGAGGGAGGGCTGGAATAAGGAAGGAACAGCATCCCACAGTGACAACAAGCCTTCCTTTCTACCATTTGATGTACTAAACTGGTTATTGATGCCGATCACCATTACATGCCTGACATTGCTACAATCATCAGAACACCTGCAAAAAAAATCCAGACCCTTCACCAGCAAGTCCCAAAACAGAATGCACGGTGTTGCCAAAAATGCCCCCCCCGCGCCCCCATCCCACCTAATGCAACTCGTTATAGTCAGCGAAGCCACCCATCATAGCTATGGATTCATAACAAGGCAGTGGAAGTCTAGCATTGACTTTAGCAATATTTATTTCCAAGTACACTGAGTGGCCAGATTATTATGACCACCTGACGTTTGTAGGCAAATTAGCTATAATTTGGCGCTGAAGTTGCTAGAGGGCCAGACCATTATAAATAGGGAAGCAGGTTGTTTACCACGACAGTAGAAGTGATTTTTTTTCTGAAGATACGGGTAAACAACGCGATTTAACAGCCTTTGAACCTGGGATGATTGTTGGCGCTCGGAGCCATGGAGCCAGTATCAGCAAAACAGCAGAATTAGTTTAATGTTCAAAAGCAGCTGTTGTTAAAGTGTTTAAAGACTGGACTGTCAGCCGAAAATCTGGGTCTGAACGTGCGAATTGTGGCCGTCAGCGGCTAGTCAATGTTAGGGCAGAACGGAGAGTGGCAAGACTGGTACAAGACAACAGAAGGGCAACAGTGCATCAAATTACTGCAGATCTTAATCAGGGATCCTCTCAAATGATCTCTGAGCGCACTGTTCGCCGTACACTGCATTGTATGAGATATGGAAGCCGAAGGCATGTTCGAACACCTTTGCTGTCTGCAGTTAACAAGATAAAACGTATCCAATTCGCACAGGAACACAAGAATTGGACAGTCAAGCATTGGAAAAAAGTCATGTGGTCCGATGAATCACGTTTCCAGTTGCATCATGCAGATGGCACGGTGAGAATTTGGCGGGAACAGAGTGAAAGCATGCACCCCACATGCATGAGTACAACCCTTCAAGCTGGTGGGTGCAGTGTTATGGTTTAGGAAAAGTTTTCCTGGCATGATTTGGGCCCTTTAATTCGTGTGGAACAACGTCTGAAAAGCACAACATACCAAAGTATCGTTGCTGATCAAGTTCATCCTATCATGTTGATGGCGTATCCCAATGGAGATGGCTTCTTCCAACAAGACAATGCGCCGTGCCATGGTGCTCGTATTGTGCAGGAGTGGTTTTAAGAACATGAGGGAGACTTTACCTTGCTTAGGTGGCCCCCACAATCACCAGATCTCAATCCAATTGATCATTTGTGGGACGAAGTTGAAAGAGCCATCAGGCAGCTGGTTCCACAACCATCAAATCTCACAGAACTCTGGATAGTGCTAGTCATCAGGCATGATTTCAACATCTCGTGGAGTCAATGCCAAGAAGAAGGCAAAAGGTGGCCCAACGAAGTACTGATGGGGTGGTCAGAATAATCTGGCCACTCAGTGTATACAGAGGCAGTAACATCCACACATGAAGGATCTCCATACAATAACAAATGGTTCAAAAATTATTACTGGTCTTGCAGAAATCACTGAGCTGGGCTTCCAAAGCAGGCATTTGTTGTGATCATAGCTGAAGGGAAGCGTCATCATTCAGGCACAGCTGACCAATGTCCACTAGCTTAGCCTGAGCACCAATCCCCTAAGCCTCTCCAGCTGGGTTAATGGGATCAATACCTAGGCATTTTGTCATGTAACTGGATGCCATGAAACAGAGGTTTTAGATCAAGTACCGCCTAGCTTCTTTTTAAAACTTTGTAAGCTTTTAAATAATCACTTGATTCCCCCATTCCCACCAAATAGCATGCACGGAAGAATCTCCCCTGCTGGCTATTGTATTTAGACAGCCGCCACTTGCACCTACCTGAACAATTGAACATTGACTGTATCTGATTGGATACAGTCACTGTTCGGCTGAGGAGTTTACACCCGGCACAGATGACTGAAATTGGTGGGTCTGACAGGGCCACGATTTGAGCCATGTATGGGTAACTAAATGGGATGGGATAGTTACAATAGGGTAAAGGGGTTATTTAGGTGTAAACCAACTTTAGGATAAATCGGACACTCGTACAAGGTATGAAGTACAGGATCACCCTGAGATTGGTCTAAACATTGCTTTTCATGTGATCCAACTTTGACTTCATATGTCAATACAGACAGGAGTCTTACAGGTTCCACACTTTCTTAGGAGACTAACTGCCTGCTATGAGAAACTGACAAGTAGCTATTGGATTCCCTAGACTCTCTATTCATGTACAAAGGCTTACATTATTATACGTGGGCGATGTTCCATGACTGAATTATTCAGGTAAAACCGTTTGAAGTACATACAAGCTGTCCCCTGAAAGAAAATAAAAAACACAAATGTTAAACAGAAAAAAACAGAGTTAAACATTTGTGCATTCAAATAGCTATACAATTTGTGACCGATTGCACATCACAATAGGCCCGATTCATAAATCTATAAGCATTGGGTTATTTTCAGCCACCTATCTGTTCATTTCACCTCTCATTGACTGTCACTGCTGCAAATAATGGTTGTCATGGCAATGTTATAGCGAAGGCAATTATACACAAAATTGAACCTGAAAATGAAAGTGGACCTATACCTTCTGTGTGACCACAGAATCATTTTGTACTCTACAGCTGCACAAAATCATTTGAAAGTTTTTATTTTTTGTATGTAAATCCAAACAATGAACTTTTCTTATTCGTTCCCTTTTATTCGGTCTTTTAAAGTGACACTAAACTCTAGGGCTGCAACAACTAATCGACATAATCGATTGTAATCGATTATTGAAAAAGTTGTCAACTTCCGATTGGTTGGCCCTGTTCACGGCTCCACGCTGCGCGCCACACTTCCTCCCCACCTCACGCTCGCTGCTGCCAGACCTGCCCGCATCCACATGCCGCACCTCCTCACGCTCACCGCCCGCCCACATCCATGATCGACACAGGGACGCGGGGAGAAGAAGAAGTAAGGAGGAGCAGGTGTGGGGGGATGACAGCCGCTGATAGACAGGTCCAATCTCAGAAGCAAGTTGCTGGAAGACTGCTCAGGTAAGCCTGCACTTTCCCCACACATGGTGCTCTATAATGTATTGCTGGGATTTGTATTCCTTTATAGCTGATGGTACATTGTGCTGTATATTATACAAAGGAATACAAATCCCAGCAATACATTATACACTGCATGTATAATGTATTGCTGGGATTTGTTGTATCCCTATAAAGCTGGTGGTATTCTGCATTGCTCTGTATAGAGGACTACAAATCAAAGAATAATACATTATACAGTGCAATGCCGAATACCACCAGCTATAGAGGACTACAAAACCCAGCAATAGTACATTATACAGCGCAATGCAGAATACCACCAGCTATAATGTACTATTGCTGGGATTTGTTGTATTCCTCTATAGCTGGTGGTATTCTGCATTGTGCTGTATAATGTACTATTGCTGGGTTTTGTAGTCCTCTATAGCCGGTGCCATTCTGCATTCATTGCTGTATAATTTTACACTTTCCATTTCACTATATTGCACACCACACTATCTTTTTTTTTTTTTTTACTTCCACCGCTCCAAGCTTGCTCCTGTGATGGACTACAACCTCAATACAAACTAGTAGTCCCATCACTGGAGCCATTTTTTAAACTTTATTTTATTGTTTATCCGATTAACCGATTAATCGAACTTAATAATCGGCTAACTAATCGATTATGAAAATAATCGTTAGCTGCAGCTCTACTAAACTCAGGAATTAAATCTTAAAAATGCATTCAACTACCCCAACTATAAATAAAAATGTAACTTATTTGTGTGTCACTCGGTATCACTTTTGTCTTGCGATGGTTGTAAGCTAATTAAAAGCTCGTACGATCTGCCCATCTTGGACAGGCAGATCGTACTTGCGATCATCGAAAGCCAGCCCCCGAGGGGCGGGCTTCTGATGACTGCAATGCTGAACGGGCAGTGTGCGCTTGCGCACACCGGCCTGTTCGGCATTTGTCTCCCGAGAACGGCACTTACCCGCCGACAATCATACGATTCTGGGCAGGTCTTCAAGCCTGTACTGGAGACAAAAGACGTGCGACCGTACAGTAGAAACGGTCGCAGGTCTTCCATACACCTTCCAAAAAATCGTACAATCACGGGATTTCCCGCAATTATCGTACGATAATGGCAAGGTGTATGGGCACCTTTACCCTGCCATCTAACCCCATACAGGGAGCATCTCCCAGATCGATATTTACACAGTGTGCATGTTTATCTTTACAGCTGGTTCATGTCAGGTCATCCTTGTTTAATTATTTATCCATGCAAGCCATCCCACCCACCTACATAGTTACATAGTTAGTCAGGTTGAAAAAAGACCATCGAGTCGAAGAAAGAAGGAAGAAGAGCCTAAACAGAACACTATGCCCACAATTACCCAATGTTGGTCTTAATCTTGTAGAGACGGAATTTCTCTTTTGTTTTTAATTGTCTGTTAGTGTGTGGGTGGTTGTGTCCATACACCCTCCATATTTATACAATACATTCTTTTTTCACTTTTGTAGATTTTGGGTCTGTCCCGATTTAGTAACCACCTTTTTGATGCGCTATTCTCTATAGCGAATCAAATCAATTTTTTTGCTGCTTTAACGCTCCCCTACTCTATCCAAAATGGAAATGGTATTTGCCTTTAAATACATACACTTAAAGAGGTTAGAGCATTTGCTGCAGATCAGAAGATATTTTCTGTGCTTGCAGGGACATTTAAGGCATAAAACACAGGGAAATGGGTTGCAGAGATGTACTGCACTTCAATAAACTGACAATAGCATTCAGCTGAATAAATACAAGCTTTGCGTGTGTCTAGTGCGACACTCAGAGCTACACTCAGGAGGCATATCATCTAAAAAAAAACTTGAAGTTCATTATTACTCACCAAGACAGATTTAGGCATTGTGGGTTTGAAAGCATTGCAGAAATCCACCAGCTTCTTCTCATAGTATTTGCATATGATGAGCTCTTCATGAGGCTCCACAGTAAATATGTCCCTCAAGTGTGCCTGTGAGTGACATTTTACACGTTTGGTAAATGTTTGGTACAATACACACTGGATGAAATAAACCATAAAGATTGCAATAATTCCATCTGACAGAGCAAAACCAGAAGAACAAACAGGCATAGAAAACATTTATAGTGCAGGTAGTCAACAAACAATGCAAAAGAACAAAGTCTTAATGAAACGTCAATAACTTATCGCAACCAATCAGAATTGCCATTGCTGGAGTCAGGTCAGTGGAAGTTGGATTGTGATTGGCTGATCTGCTCTTTAGGGTAAGCTCAACACACAAGGTACAATCTGATTATACAATCTCATTTAGATCTACCAACAACTATGTGGTACAAAGGCCTTTGTGATTGGACACACATTGATGGAATAAATTAAGTAGGACCTCATATTACATAGTTTGGGTAAATCTAAAGTTGATTGCATGGTCAGATTGTAATGTGTATGGTGAACCTGAAATGGCTGGAGACCGTATCACTAAAATCTGAACTAAGCTTCAAAGTGCTAATGTATATTCAAAAGTAGGGCTGCAACAACTAATCGATAATTCTCATTATCGATTAGTTGCTGTCACTCTGCTCCTCCGTTCTCCTCCCCGCTGGTGCTGGCTGCAGCGGTCTGTGTCCCTTTCAATCCCCGTTGCTCTCCCCACCTGTATCAGGTCCGTTCGTTCCCTCAGCCACTCCCCCCATGCCACCTCAGCATCTAGAGGCTGGGAGCAATACCCAGCCTCCTATTGGATATTTTAAAATGCAATAGCCAATAGCAGGCTGGCTATTGCACCCACTGCCTGCTGTCAATTAGCAGAGGACCTGATTGAGAACTTTCTCCTTCAGGTCCCTCCTCTGCTGATTGACGGCAGGCAGTGGGCGGGTGCAATAGCCAAGCTGCTATTGCAATTTAAAATATCAAATAGCAAGCTTGCTTTTGTTCCCAGCAATAAAGTAAATAAAAAGGGGGGGGGGGGGGTTAAAAAATAAAGTTAAAAATAGAAAAAGAACATTTTGTGTGTGTTAGTTTAAATAAAAGTTTATCTATTTTATTATATTGGCTAAGGCCTCGTTCACGCCAGATACAGTGCAGCCCGATTCTGGCCAGAACGCACTGCATCACATTGCGGCCGGCTTACTATGTTGTGGGATAGGAGGGGGCACGGTGGTCCATTGAAGTGAATGGCACCGTAGCCACACCCTCCGGCCACAATACAATCGGACGCACGGGAAACCAAGGCACATTATCCGGTCCGAACAAAATGCTGCAAGCACTATTTTGTTTGGACCAGACACCTTACAAAAAGAAACTACACAGCCAACAAAAGTGGGTCTGTACCATGGGATCGCTGTGACCAATCACAAAATGTAAACAATGGCTGCCACCCCTTTCCTCTCACAACCTGATCAGTTGTAAGTGGACTGACCAGCTACTTCCTGATCACCAACCAGTGCCAGCGACATCCAGTACCAGTCTGTGTACAGCCAGTGCCAGCATCATCAAGTACGTCTGTGTACAGCCAGTGCAAGCATCATCCAGTACCTGACCCTATATCGCCAGTGCCATCCAGTACTTGACCCTGTATAGCTGGTACCAGCGTCATGCAGTACATGTCCCTGTATAGCTGGTATCGAAGTCATCCAGTACTTGATCCTGTATAGCTGGTACCAGTGTCATCCAGTACTTGACCCTGTATAGCTGGTACCAGTGTCATCCATTACATGTCCTTGTATAGCTGGTACCAGAGTCATCCAGTACATGTCCCTGTATATCTGGTACCAGTGTCTTCCAGTACCAGTATCATTCAGTACCAGTCCCTGTATAGCTAGTCCAAGTGCCTGCACAAACAGTGCCAGTGCCATCCAGTACCACCAGCAAGTATGAAGACGTTTTATTTATTGGATATGTTTTTTCAAACCGCTTGTTCTTTTTCCTGCTTTATATAGTAAAAAAATTAAATATCACTGAAAGAAAGCTCTATCTAAAAAACATAAAACACATGTGTGCACAGCGCTGTATTGGCTAGTAATTGTCAAACAAACACAGCAGTGAAACTTGTCTTGGACAGGAAGGGGTGTAACAAGCTGGTACTGAAGTAGTTAATTATAACTACACCTCATATGACCCGCTCCATTTATTGCTTCGCTCCACCTTCCAGATGTTCCATAATGCCAGTCACCATAATGGTAGAAATCCCCCCCCGAACACACAATGTAAGGTGTTGTATTCTGTCTCTGTTAATACTACACACCGCAGTCAGAGCAGTCTACCTGGGATGTCCCTCGTACCCGGGCCCGGCTATTGGCTTGACCGCGGAGCCGCTGCAGGTCAACCGCGCTAGGGAAGGTCCAGTGCTTTCTCTGGGTGCTGTTGTGATACATGTCCCCCCTTCCATGAACGGCACTGCTGGCGCTGCCATTATACGTCACGGTGACGTCAGAGGGAGAGGCGTGTACGTGTAGAGGGAGGGGGCGGATACCGCTCGGAGGACGTGGTGCCTACAGCTTAGTGCTGTTTGCGGGGCGGAGGGAACGTTATAGCCAGCGGGGTTATCAGAGGTGGGAATAGAGTCCCCCAGGAGGACATTTTTTTTCCAGTCCTTTAACACTAAGAGGAGACGTTATATCCAATAAGGTTTTATGATGGAAGAGGGATAATCTCTATATAGGTTTGCCAGCTTTTCTTAAAGTGAAATCCTAACGCTCTAGCGCTGCATGCAGCATTTTTTTTTTTTTTTAGAAGAGAGCGAGGAGAGGCAGCCAGGGGAGGAAGTAAGGAGAACAGCTATAGAAGATTACAAATTTCAGCAATACATTATACAGCAATACAAAATAATATGAAGCTACATTCTCTAGGTGGCATGGCAGAGCATTGAACTCAATGGCACCGTAATCACGTCCTCCGGCCGCAGTACTATCAGCCGCACAGAAACATGTGGCACATCAATGGCGGAGTTCTGGTCCGGTGCGGTCAGAAAAAAAGGTGCATGCAGCATTTTTTCTGACCGGAACGCAGGTATTGATGTGCCACACGTTCCCGTGCGGCTGATTGCACTGCGTGTGGGGGGCATGGCTGCGGTGCCATTGACTGCAATGCTCCTCCACGCCCCCTCCCACCCCAAAACAAAGTGAGCTGTGTTCTAGTGCGTTGCAGAGGTTGAACGCACTCTTGGTGCGGGCCCTCAGGCTCAAGCAGCGCGGAGCGGTGGTGCGCTGCCTTCGTGTGCAGTGTGTCATGTCATTTTCTCTCCAGGCACGTCAGCTTGCGAGAGCGCGCATAGCTGGACGTGCCGAGATGAAACATTTCCTTTTCAGCCAATCGGCCATTCGATTGTTACGCGCGAGCCAATTAGCTGAAGAGGCTGTCTTTCATCTGACTGCACTCAGCTCACACACTGCATGCGAAGCTCCTGACAGCTTTGCTTCGCTCTGCACTGCTTCGCATGCAGTGTGTCACAGGCTTAATACTACGCCCGATATCAAACACTGTGGGAAGGAGCTGTGGAGCATCAGCCTGCTGGAAGCTGTAGTCCCAGGAGGCAATGTCAGGGCCTTAGTGGTTAATGGGGCCCTCTTCCTCCTGTCCAGGCCCACCCAAGTGGTGGAACTCCAGGGTCCAGTCACAGCTGTGACTCTGTTAGTTCCACCACTTGGGGGGCACTGACAGGGGGAAGGGGGCCCCATTTACCACCAAGCCACTGACATTGCCTCCCGGGACTACAGCTCCCAGCATGCAGCAGGCCAACACTCCACAGCTCCCTCCCGCAGTGATTGATACTCATGCTAGTGGCTGAACTACCAGGGTAGCAGCGGCCGCACAGGGAGCCCCCACTGACCACAGAGAGCCCGCACTGACCACAGAGAGCCCACACTGACCACAGAGAGCCCACACTGACCACCTGAGAGCCCGCACTGACCACCTCAAAAAAACATCGGGGGGTTTTCTGTTCTTGCCTCGGGCGCAAAAGAAGCTAGCTACAGCTCTGCCCATAGGTATGAGGAACACAAAGTGTGTGTGTGTGTTGAGGGGGATGGATGATTGACACATCTTTTTTATTGGCTCCGAAAGGGTTGTGCTGCGCAGGGTCAGGGGCTGAGCTGACCAATTGGTATGCTGACATGAGGGAAGGGCAGAAAAGAAAGTATAAAATAGTATAAATGGTATAATATAGTAAATATATAGTATAAAATAATATTTTTTGTTACTGGAAAAGGAGTCATGTGAGTTATATACTACTGAAAACAAAATACAATGGAGGATCATAATAAATCAGAACAGTTTAATGGCATTTGCACACTTTGATGGGTACTGCTTACATATTACCTCTTCATTCAGTTTCTTGTATTTTATTCACTTTAAATATAATTATCATATTGTGTTGTGCTTCCACCAATCTGTAATCTCTTTATTCAATTTATGTTAATACTGCATATAATACCATTCACTGTATGTTATCTAAGTTTAAGTAAATTTCATACTTCACCGGAGTGATGTCTTTTAAACCTAGGTATAGCATATATCTACATGGTGGCAGCTGTATGCTCCAAATGTTTCTGACAATGTTGTCATTTGATTATGTGCCGATCCACTTGCCACAGAAGGAACCCAGGATCTGATCCAGCACTGCTTTTTACAAAACCACCACTAGAGAGCACTGGAACGGTTTCATGGACACGTGAGATAGATATCTTCAGTATCACAGAGGACTATTACATAAAAAAAAAAAAAAATGCTAGAGTGGTCTTGTCAAGCAGCCTGAAAAAAAACAACAATTATATAATGTGGTAATTTAGAGTATCTAAACCCAAAAAAAACCAATGATATATATTTTAATTTGCCACTCCTTAGATGTGCTGGCTGTACTAGTTTTCACTTTTTAAGCTAAGAACATTTATGTCAATTACAGAAAATATCTGTTGAACTTTTGTTACCCAAGGTCACTGTGTGGTCCCCGTGATGGACTACAATCTCAATGCAAATTAGTAAACTAAACACAATTAGTAAGGTAAACGTGAGATTGTAGTCCATCACAGGAGTAATCTTGGAGTGGTGGCTACTTTACAACACACACATGGACCATGGGGAACAAAAGTAGTCACCATCCAGAAGGAAGGTCAGTGTCGGCACCAATTCAGAGATGATTTGAGGATCTACAGCTTACTGAAACACAAATAGGATACATAGGGGGGAATTTATCAAAACTGGAGCAGCCAGAATCTGGAGCAGTTGTCCATGGCAACCAATCAGCATCTCTCTTCAGTTTGCTCAGTTGAGATTTCAAATTGAGAGATAGAACCTGATTGGTTGCAATGCAATTCTGCTCCGGATTTTGTCTGCTCCAGTTCTGATAAATTTCCCCCCAGTATTGCTTATAGTTAGGGTACTTGAATGCATTTTTAAGATTTAACTCCTGGGGTTACTGTCACTTTAAGACCATAACGCATTGTAACATTTTTGGGATTTCATACTATATGCTCACTTGCTTTTTTATTTCCTTTCATCTGTTAAAACTTATTTAAAAGAAAAAAAGATCATATTGTCATATGTAGCACCTGACTGCCCAGTTGATGTCACCTTTTATCAGATTGCTTCTGACATGGAAAATGTTCTCACTGTTCTGACAGCTGCCAAGAAAGGGTAGAAATACAGATATATAAACTGTGGTCTAAGTGTGGCCTTTTCTTGACATTTGAATTCCTAACCACTTATGCACAATGCCGTCCGTTCTGCATTGTGCAAACCAGTGCTTGGCTGCTGGAAACTGATGTGTGAAATTCATTGCAGGTACTCTAGCAACTCACAACTTAAAGTGACACTAAATTTAGGACTTAAATCTTAAAAATGCATTCAAGTATCTTAACTATTAACAAAAATGTATCTTATTTGTGTATCACTCGGCTGTAGATTTTCCAACTATCTCTGACTTGGTGCTGACACTGTCCTTCCTTCTGGAGGGCGGCTACTTGTGTTCCCCATGGTCCCTGTGGGTGTTGTAAAGTAGCCATCGTTCCAAGCTCGCTCCCATGATGGACTGCAATCTCACATTTAGTTTACTAATTTGTAGTAATCAGCCGCCTGAGCCCCTCAGTTTAGTCGAACCGAAGGGTTGCTGTACAGGCTATTCACAATAGTCTGTACAGCATCCGAGCGGCTCAGCTCAGCTGAGCCATAGTGAAAGCCGAAGCGTGGAAAAAGGTCGGCCGAAGGGCCCACCATTCTCCACGCAAATGACAGCTGGGCGGAGCTGTCATTTGCGTGGCCTCCGGTTGGCCGTTCGCCCCGGTTCGGCTCTCACTTCGGCTCAGTCGACCAAAGCATATGCCTTCGGCTTGGCTGAGCCGCTCGCCCGCCTTCGGCAGCTGTACAGGCTATAGTGAATAGCCCATACAGCAGCCCTTCGGTTCGACTGAACCTAAGGGCTTTTTTTTTTTTTTTTTTCTGAAAATACATTCTGTGGTCATTTCAGATACAAATATTGCTGAGCAGAGTCCTTCTTTAGGTGTGTAAATTGGATGTCAGACATAAGCAGGGCACAGGAGAAAACAATCAGCTGGTTTTACACTTCCTCTATAGCAATATTACAAGTCCTGATATGATATTAAAGAAACATGTTTCTGTTAATGACTTCTGTTTTCTATGCTCTCAGCTATTTCCAGTCTGTCAGATTATGAAATACATGCCTACTTTAATTGACAAATATAACATTCATGGTTCACAAACCTATACTCTTAATTAGTTATATGTTGTTAAAATAATTTATAGTCACTTTTTAAACTTAACGGATGTTGCATAAATTAACATGGAAACTGTTTACCACTTTGCTGGACTCCTGATAATGTGCTCATTTTGCAATTCAGAAAATCCTAATTACATTTGTAGACTCGCGGCTGCTAAATGGGCATTTCTTTCTTGATGTCTTGATTTGCAGTTTATTAAAGATCGTACCAGCAATTTCATGTGCTGGCTTTTGTTCCCCATCAGTTGTTATATTAGTCTACAATGCAATGTAAGCATGAAATGTGTTCAGTAAACAGTTATTCAACGCAGTCTGATAGGTGTGAATGTGAAGATTCTTTTTATTTTCCGAAAGATTTTCCTCTTCCAAGTTTTCTTGATGAAGCTCGGGTGGATTATTTGGTTAATATCTTTGTATGCCTGGTATATGCGGATGCTGAAAGCAGACGTCCATTCAGCTCTTTTAAGATTTGCCGCCATGTGAGGCCCCATTCACATTAGGACTTCAGGGATTCCTGTAGCAAGAACCTACAGATTCCTGCGTCAGGAATTCAAGGTGTCCCAGTTCAGATGCAGCCGCTGTACCCATTCAAGTAAATGACAGGGTGACCGCAGCCCCATCTGTCAGCAGCAGTCCACATGTAATCCTACATGGTAGGATTACATGCGGTTTGGAATAGATGATTATCCCTGGATGCC